GTATAAACAAAAATATGAACTGTAACTTTTAGTAACATCAAAATAGAAAAACATCTATTATAACATTTGTATTAAAAAAGATATATATACAACGAATAATAAAAAAATATGAAAAATAAACACTATAACTTTTAATAACATAAAAACACTAAAACATCTATTATAACATTTATATTAACTTTTCATATTTAAATCACAAATCTCTTCAAATACATTAATATTTTTAATGAGCAAAACTTTACAACATTATAAAAGAAAGGAAAATAAAAAGTTATTAGTGATTACTAATTAATAATCATAAGTTAAAAATTGTTGAGTTGTAACTAATAAATATACATAAATTAGAAAACTCTTGAGTTGTAGTGTGAGTTTCAAATGAATGCGGTACTTGGAAATGTATATTTATTATTATTATTATTATTATTATTATTATTATATTCGTCTAAATAATTGGTTTTGATGCATCATTTTAATCCCTTCAATTATTAAACATAAAGATATTTAATTATAAATTTATAACATACATAGGTGCATATACATGTTAAACAAATCACATATAATATATATATTTTCGTAAATGTCATATGTAATTCTTGTTGTAGTAATATGGATAAATTACTTTCATATAAAGAACATATCATGATAAGTCTATCATAATTACATATCAAATGTTCAAAATTATGTTATCTTTTGAATATTGTCTTTTAAATATGTTGTGTAGGATAACCCAACAAAAAAATAATAGAAAATAAACATAATCAAATAGAAAAACTACAATCAAATAAATAAGAGCATTGGGTGGTTAAATATATAAATAAAGATGTTACATAAACATACATTTAAATTAAAAGAAAAAACTAACATTCGTCAACTTTGCCCAAACAAAAAAACCTATATCCATTTTATGAATATTCTTTCTTCATTTAACACCATTCAACCATAGAAACTTGATGAGAATTCTTCACTAACCTGCAATCAAAATATTTTTCTTGAAAAAGAAGAATCGGAAAGATATTCCAAGCAAAACATTGATGTTTGGAGAGTCACATTCAAAATTGAGTAATACACACAAATCACATATAAAGATTAAATGAGAAACTGAATATAAAGAAAGAATAGAAAAGTTTCATTTGTTTTGGTTGAAAGAAAAAATCATATTACAATTACCATCGATGCGACATAACTCATTTCTTCAAATCATCATATTTGGATCGTGAATGCTTCAACTATATGAAAACTTTTGAATCACAATATCTTCAAATCCTTCTTACATGTAAGATTTTATATAACACAAAAGACACAAAAGATTGGCCTTTTTATAGTAAACTTTTCACTAAATGCTAATAAAACATAATATAAGTTATAAAACTTTTGAGTGTTAAATCATAATTAAGAAAACTTTTGAGTTGCTATTAATTGAAAAAGGGGGTTTCAAATGAATGTGGTTTGAGGAAGTTAAAAAATGGGGTTTCAAATGCATGAGATTCTAGAAAAAATGCTAGTTATATATATATATATATATATATATATATATATATATATATATATATATATATATATATATATATATATAGGGATAAGATCGGTTGAGAACTCATAGTTTCCCGAGAACCCGAGAACTAAAAGTGGATCGTTAGATCAAAACTAATTCAATAAGGGCATAATCGTAATCATATCAATCTCATTTAATGTTTAATTTTTTGTGTTATTGGAAACATTAATAAAAAGTTTTAAAAAATAACATAAATTTAAAAAAAAATTAAAAATATTAAAAAAAAGCTGCAATTTTTTCAAAAAACAAAAACATCTTTTTCTCAAAAAAAACTGCAATTTTTTCAAAAAAAATGCATTTTTCTTCAAAAAAACTGCAATTTTTTCAAAAATAAAAAATAAAACTGCTTTTCTTTTTAAAAAAACATCATTTTTTTTAAAAAAAAAAATCTGCAACTTTTCAAAAAAAAGCTACACATTTTTTAAAAAACCTGTAATTTTAAAAAAAAATGCATTTTTTTTAAACTGCAGTTTTTTCAATAACCACATTTTTTTTCAAAAAAACTACAATTTTTTCAAAAAAGACACTATTTAAAAAAAAACTGCATTTTTTTAGGTGCATATATGCATATTTTTGGTACATTTATGCATATTTTTACAAGTGCATATATGCATATTTCATATATTATTATATTTGTAAAGGAATCATAAGAAAACTCATTTTATTTACTAATCTATAAACACAATACAATAAGTATTTTATTCGATACAATATAAAATATCAAAAACAAAAAAATGCTACAAAATTTCAAAGCGTTTTCATGTCTTCTTGTCAATATTTCCATATTTTCTTCAATTTATCATTTTTCACCTCTTCAATATTCACCACAATTTCTTCCAAATCTACAAAAAAAATAAAAAAAATTTTATTGATGCAAAAACACTCACAAAAATACATATATGATTTACATGTGAATCACATGTGAATTATATATGATTTACATGTGAATTACATGTGAATCACATGTAATTCATATATGAATTACATGTGAATCTCATGTAATTCATATGTGAATTACATATGATTTACATGTAAATCACATATAATTTATATGTAAATTACTGTGAATTACATGTGAATCACATGTAATTCATATATGAATTATATGTGATTCATACGTGAATAACATGTGATTTACATGTGATTTATATGTGAATAACATGTGATTTACATGTAATTCATATGTGAATTACATGTGATTTACATGTAATTCATATGTGAATTACATGTGATTTAAATATGAATCACATGTAATTCATATATGATTCACTTGTGACATGTGATTCACATATAATTTATATATAATTCACTTGTGATTTACATGTGAATTATATGTGATTCATATGTGAATTACATGTGATTTCATATAAAACAATAATTCATATAAAACAATAATTCATGGATATTACTAGAAAAGTTAATTGATCTCTATTTTTTACCATTTATAAAAAAAATATGAATAAAAAAGAAAAAAAAGTTACCTCTCTTTTGCTTGCAACAGCTTCAGCTGCAGCAGCAACAAGTGCTTGTGCTTCCCGAATTTCCCATCAGAAAAATTATTTTGAACATATTGCTCACTTGCAAAGATGACTAGTTTTAATTTTAATCTAAAATCTAAACGGAAAATATGGAAATTAGTAATTACTTAAGAAACACAAATACCATATGCAATTAATCATAAATGTAGCATAACTCACCCATGTTATGCAACAATATGTAATCCCCTTTTTGCAACCTACAATAAGGTTCCAAAAGAAAAACTCAGTTATGAAAAAAAGAAATTTATGGCAATATTAATGGTGAAAATGAAAATATAATGTAATCAATACCACTAATCTCTCAGCTTTGTGCAAAAAACAGTAACCCATATGTTTCTTCCTAATGTCATTAGAGTATCGGAGGCATTGCCTAAATAGAAAATTCAAAGAAAAAACAGACGAGTTATAGTTCGTTTGCATCAAGAATTTAGAAGCAAAAACACAAGCCATGATAACCAATTTGGTGCCTAAATATCAACACATATTTCTATTTGTGTGCGATTGAATTCATATTGTGAATGTTTTGAAATCTTTAAAAGCTAAACAGCCAATAGGATAATTACATTAAATTAGGGGAATCAACCTTATTCAAGTTCCATAACGATGGGGGAATTTTACTAGTAAATGTATCAACTAATTTAGATGTAAATAATTATAAAGGAAATTAAATTTGCTCAAATTACTTTTTCCTTCCTAGCCATTTTACTAGTAAATGGGTGCAGGTTTATCTTGAAGAGATTTGTTAATTCTATCATTCACGACATCTGCAACCAACAAATTCAAAATGTACATTAATAAAAACAATATGCATTTTGTTAAATCATGACAAATTCAAGATTCAGAAATTTTAAACCTAGAATATAAGGAGGTGGAGATAAATACCTGAAACGCCCTTGAAATATGATGATTTTGACTCTTGTTGAACATATACACAACCAAGGCACTTGCTGAAAATAAGAACATGTGAAATTTGTTGTAATAAGTAATGACATGTTAAACCATTGCAAACTAAAAATATTATAAAAAATGAAATGGTTTATAATTAAGTATGAATTGTAACTCAAAGGTTTCTCATTCAAGAAAAGCAAAATACAAATCCAATCATTTTCAAGCTAATAATGGAACCTTCATTTCCAAGTTACAGCATAGATGCCCATAGAGCTTTTAAAATAGATAGTTGATATCATATGCAAATTAAATCGATGCAGAATCAAAAAAAAAAGTTGAAATCAAATGCACATTAGAAATAATTTATTACATGTCGATCTGGAGGAAGAGTCCAATGAGGATTGAAAAACAGGGGAGAACGGAGAAGGAAATGTCGATAATAGATGATTGATCGGCTCACAGTCAAAGAATCTTCAATTAAGTTTGTTTCCATTGAAGGTGATGAAGCATAACCGAACACAAATCTTCATTGTAGCTGCTGGAGAAATCTCGGTGGTAAAATACATTCGTAAGCAAAACACAATCGATTCAGATATGCCGACAATAAATTCTGGATCGTTGATGAAACTAGTGTATAATCATTAGTTTATAACTGATTAGAAAACTTTGGAACATCAGGATATTTTCTTTACCTTTTCATATGACTTCAAATGATGAATATGGCTTTAAAATCCCCAAACATATAGTTGGTAATGGCTGTTACAGAATATATCAGATCTGTTAATCTGCGGGACGGTGTCGATTCGTCGATTATCTGCAGACGATTTAGAAATTAGGTAGAAGTCACAGTAAATCAGAACCTGTGAAAATCTCGATTATCAATTTGAGATGATGAATTTCTGATTTCATTAAAAGCATAACAAGCACTTTCGATTCAGCTAAGCGAGATCAGAACATAAAAGATCGAATCTTATGAGAGATAAACAAACCTTACAAATAGAGCAAGGCTCGACAATCGAAGCTTATGGCAGAGATGCGAATCGAGAATCAAAGACGAGACGAAGATTTATCGCCGGTGAGGATGAGAGAATGTGAGGCGGAGATGGAGGATTTAGCGTCGATTTTCTCGAGGCTGAACAACGGGAAGAAAAAGAGAGATCTCTGGCGGAGCTGCTATCGGAAGGTGAATGAGTGACATGAGTATCTAGATCCGGCGAAGCTTCAATCGTCTCCGGCGAAGGAGAAGGAGGAGCAGGCGCCGTTGCTGGAGAGGGAAAGGAGGTGGCGACAGGTATGGATGGTGATGATAAATTAGTAGTTTTGATTTTAGGAATTCAGAAAATCTATATACCTAATTTACCCCTATTATTTTTGTTAAAAAACCACATATACCATTGAAGTTATGTTTATTACCATATTGCCATCTTTGATCTTGACCCTTCAGTTTTTTGATCTAATGGTCCACTTTTAGTTCTCGGGTTCTCGGGAAACTATAGGTTCTCAAATGATCCTTCCTCTCTCTCTCTCTCTCTCTCTGTATATATATATATATATATATATATATATATATATATATATATATATATAGGACGGTTCATTTGAGATTAAAAAAAAATAGAGATCTTGAGATTCAACCTCAACCATATATTTCTCATTTGCTGCTCTAACGCTCCAGCGTTCCGACAGCAGTGAGGTATGCTTAATCATAAATGATTATATGTCAGAGCGGTATAATATATATGATTATACATGTTTATGCGTATATTCCAAATCATAAATGATTATACATATATGTCAGTTCACAAATTGAGTAATAATATATGATTATGACTGTTGGTGGTGGCAGAGGTGGTGGTGGTATAACTGACAGAGATGGCAATGGTGGAGTCGGTTAATGTCAGAGGTGGTGGTAATGGTGGTGGGGATGGTGGCGGAGGAGAAAGGAACAGACGACCCTATATAATCATTTATGATTATACAGGCTTGTCGTGCCGGTACGTTGGAGGGTTAGAGCGGGATATGTGAAACATATTTATTTCTTTCATTACCAGCTATCCACACGATGAGAGGAAGCAGAGCCACTTTACTGATTTGCTTGTTGATCGATGACCGACGAGAGAGATAGATCTGTTGAGGTAATTTACTATCGTCAAGACGCAACTGGCGACTGACTCTGCTGGACCTATTAGCTAATTAGCGGAGGCACATAGCCAGTGCACTTAAAGCTGTCAACGAGTCAACTATGGACCAACAGGCAGAGGATAGTGTGTGAGTGGAGACGTGGGGAGCTCAAGGACGCATTGTGATATCCCTTTAAAAAGGGTTTTGTTTTTTTGATATATATTAGACTTGTATTTGTATTTTGGCTTGGAGGAGTTTCAAATAAAAAATATTTGTAAGTTTTTAAAAAATTTCAATTCCCATACAAATGTGTGTTCCCTCCCAAAAAGCAAGGGTTGGTTTGTTGTTTTTTTGTAAAATATATAAATTTATGCAATTAAAGGCACACGTCAGGACGTTTACATTGGTGTGGGTCAAGGCATGTAAGATTTGGTTCAAGGGTATGCATTCCTAATATTTTACATATAATAATTTTTATAAATAAAAAAAGTTTATGTACGTATACGAAATATTTTTAGTATTTCTTGAGTAGAAACCTAATCAATATTAGGAAGGGCACACAATCTACAAATTTAGTATTATTTCTTGAGTAGAAACCTAATTAATTATGATGTATATTTTATAACATAAATATTTTTAATTACTACCAAAATTTGAAGGATGAGGAATTGTAGTTGTTACTTGTTAGTCCCTCTTTCACCGTGTCACTAATCATCATGAATGATGATCCGAGTACTATATAGCTGATGTCGACTGCTTTAGGCATTTTAGATCTTTTAACCGCATATATCATCTCATGCAGGGATACTCCGGTAAAAAATTGTAATGTAGAAAAATAAAAGGTTACTATTTTCCAACAGTTGAAGAAACTAATCTTGTGAAATATCGGTTTCCCTTTACAATTTTTAATCTATGATTTAGACGTCAATTTTTTTGTAATAGTATCTCTAGGATTGAATGCCAATTACAAATATGAATAATTGCGTAGTACAAAAGTATAGACTTTAATGAATATTGAATGTCAATAAAAAGTGAAGATACGAGGACATAGTGATGCATTACACTACATTAATGAGGAGTACTTAGATCTTATAGAAAAAATTGAGCAAAAAAATAATAAAAGAGAATGATTAATAAAGGTTTATGAAACCAAATTCTCTTGTAGAAGAAATTTATTTAGATATTAGCCCGCGATTTTAAAATATCGAAGCTCATCTCACTAGGATCCGTTGCTTGCAACTCGACCTGAATCCCATCAAGTTCTCTCTTGAATCTGTCTTTGGAGCTTGCATACACCATCTTCATTCTCACCTTTGATGTATCTGGTGACCTGCAATAACCCATTATCGTTTTCTTATATCAGCATATATATATATATACCCTCTCAGTTATAGATTACCGCATTTTTATGATGATCAGATAAAAAGATAAATGGAAGGAAAAGGCATGCATGCATGTGAATTGTGATGATAGATTTGATATGGGTACCAGGCAATGAAGATAATCTTGCTTTTCTGACAATTCTCGTCAGTAGTGAAGTCAAAATCAAAGACAGCATAGCGGCATTCATCGCCAGGAAGAGAGTTTGTGAAATCTTCGTAGTTTTTATCAGGGCCACCAATCTTGTCAACGATCACCTGTTGATCCTCGATTTTGTATGTAATAAACCGGTAGTTCCGTTTTGCTTTTAACTCCAAAAACTTTAACTTACATTGATCGTCAACAGCCATTCCAGATGCCGCATTCGCCTAATCCACAAATCATTACAACGAAAAAAACAAAAACCAAAAACCAAATGGAAATACACCCATCATGCATCAAAACATAGAATTGGATCATGGTCATCAACATATATAAATCAAATAAATTTCTTCAAAATAGGATCATAAATCAACAAGAAGAAGAGATACATACCATGGTTGGTGATGCAAGTGGAGAATTATGGAAAGAGCGGATGAAGAAAGGATTGGGGTTGATGGAGAAGAAGGTCCTTCAAATCTGGGAAACAATCAAACTTTCACTCAAGAAAATGTGGGGAAAGTTGAGATTTTTAAGGGGGGAAATTAAGGTTGAGAAATCGTCTTTCAGCCATTTATGTGGTTGACCATTCATTATTCATATTATAACCAACAGTAATTCGAATTTCGTTTTCAATTTTATGCAAGTTTCTATAACGTTTTTTACCGGATCTTATGTGTTGTGTACCATTTTGGTGGATCTTATGTGTTGTGTACCCTTTGGGCGTACTATTATGTTTTGTTATAATTATGGGTGCTATTATGTTTTGTTATAATTATTTGTGTACCATTTGGGCGTATTATGATTACGGGTTGATTCTTAATATGTTTGTACAAAATCCTAAAATAACGAATTTTCAACACCCGACACCAATACGTATGCGTATTTTTAGGGTGACACATAATCAAATACCCATTAAGCAACCATTATGAAAAATGGTAAATTGTATTATTCTAGCACTCATGTGGAAGGTTAACTATTGAACACTAGCAATAACATGGGTTTGTCGAGGCTTGAATCGTTGTACCTTATATATGGAACTTTGCACCTCAACTACTAGACTTCCATGCATCTAGATAGAAATTAAACAACCATTATGTACGTTTTTAAAAAGAATTATCCACTAGAATAATCATATTTGGAGGCTAGTATACCTAAAAAACCATCTTACCATCTTTATGACAAAACAACAACCAAAATTGTGAATCAAAACCTGCGAAGTTGTGACAATACGTTTTCCAAGGCGACAATACGTTTTGCCAAGGCCCAAGAGTTAGCTCACTAAGGTATCGCGAGAGGCATTGTTCTAATGCTTTACATCTAATATGTATAAGAAGTGAGTTCGCTAAGGTCTTGCGACCTACATTTAATCTTGTATTTTATAGTCAAATTGGTAGAACAATATGATACAACATATGTATTTTATAGTCAAATTGGCCTGAGAATAACAGATCTGTATACCGAGCGGGGCTCGATGTCGGGCGGGGCCCGAGGTCAGGCGGGGCCTAGTATGTGATTTATTATGTGTGGTATGGGGTATGTTGGGAAACTCACTGAGATTTGTGCTTACGGTTTTCAGTTTATTTTTCAGGTACTTCCGGTTGCAAAGGGAAGAGCTCGGGTTGACTGCATCGCACACGCCATTGGGATTCCGCATATGATGTTTTACGCTGATTTTATATGATATTTGATAAATTGGTTATTTGAGATGTATAGATGATATTTGGAAATACTAAATTATCTATTTTAAAAATGAAATTTTCGGGGCCATATTTTTGGATGTTACAGATCGGAGCATGACATGTGGTTGGCGGAGAGAGGACCAACAAGGCTCGAGGACGCGGTGCGCCTCTTGTCGGTGTGCAGAGTGTGTCCGATGTAGTATAAATACTCCCTCAATTTTCTTCATTTCCACACCATTTTAAGTCTCCTTTATCTCTGAAACTTTCTTCCTTCTTGAGTTCAAATTTTTCGGGTTTCGTGAGTGTTTTAGCGAAGTTCTTGTGTATCTAAGAGTCCGAGAAAAGTAATATTCATGTCGAGATTCTACCCATGCAATTTCCCGGTTTCGCTAAAAATTTCTAAGTTAAGCTACACTTAATTTATATCGAGTGTAACTTATACTTATGTTCATAGTCATTATTATGAACTTGTAAATAATATTTATCAGTAATTCAAAGTCATTATATTAATTGATCTACTTACAGGGATGATGTATAGGCTAGATTTACTGAGGTGTTTAAAGCAACATTTCCAAACAATAGACTATGTATACCAAACGGACCCTACATCCGATATGATCTTACCTGGTTATTCCTTACTTGATAGATTTTGATGTAGACATTGGGATTGGTGAGGAATCTAGACTATTATTAGTCGCCGAGAATATTAGACTAAGACTCTATAATAATCATACTTAGGTCACGTCAAATGAAAAGTTAAGGTGTTAAACGAAGCTCTGCCCAAATCACCAGCTATCCACCTAAGTCATGTGAGTGCATATTCCCTTTTATGAACATGATTTTAATACAAGTATTAATTAAATTATTAAATATATGTCGAAAATTTTATATGTGAGCTATATGCTTATTGGATGGATTATGTGTTAGAAATGTACTTGATGCTTTACGATATGTGAACCAGATGGTTATATATGTGTTAAGATATATATATATATATATATATATATATATATATATATATATATATATATATATATATATATATATTATTACGTGATATTAATAATAGAAGTACTATTAGAGGTAAAGATAAAAGTAGATTAATACCTAAATGCTATGTGTTAAATATATACACTAAATTAGGATAGTGTTTTCTAAACAAAGTTGGTATTGGAAGTCTAGTAGTTTTACCCGTTAATGAGATAAGACTTAATATGGATGCCTAGTTCAATTAATTTTGATATTGGGTAATCTCATTCGGAGAGTATATGTCAGTTAGGAACAGAGAGTAGAGTTTTGTTCTGTGGCACTTTCAGGTGTCGATGGTACGAAATACGTACTAGAGTACAAATTGTATTCCTTTTTGGATGGTTCGGATCAAACAATTGTAATGGTATGTCTAGTCATCTCCCAAATTAATATGACAACACTTGATCATTCTAGACGATCTTGTGAATTACGTTGCTAGTGTGGGTTCATAACCCACAAACGTAGATGAAATGGGATATCATATTCATCAAATACTTTGATGGCACGAGTGCCTTTATGACTTTCACCAGCCAAGGAAGCCCCTAGCGGTGTAGTCAAGCCCTTTCTTTTAAACGGTTTATCTTCCTGATAATCATGGACTAGGATCTGTGAGGATCGATTGAGGTGGGAATGTATAGGTATGAGGTTTTATAGATGTCCAAGTCGGAAATATATTTATATATTGTTTGGTAACAGTTGGTTTTTCAAGATTAAGATATATATATGTGTATATATATATATATATATATATATATATATATATATATATTATATAATAACATTATGGGATTGAAATCCCTATGTATCTCACTAGGTTTCCCAACCTGACTCACTCAGTTTGTATGCACACATGTATCAAGATTTTAGCTACTAGAACTTGATTAGGATGTTGAGTAATTAAGACAAAGTTTGCAATGGTGTACAGGACCATTAAGTCTTTACGTTGTAACTTATGTATCTGTATTGATTATGACATCCTTAGGATTTTATTTGAGACAATCTTGTAGTTAAAAGATTTTTATATGTTGGGATTTTCCGCAAATGAAGTATCTTGATTTTTAAAGCGTAAAGAAAGTCCTTTTGGTTCTAAAAATTAGAGGATGTCACAGTTAGTATCAGAGCTTTAGTTTAAGCGAACTAGGAATTTTGCTAGATTTCTAGACTTAAACTTAGAATGCTAAGCGATGATCGTGAGATGTGTGTCTATTATATTTTAGGAAGAATACCTGAACTAGAATACTTTAGGGAATGTGCCTTAATTGTTATTATGTGCTAAATAATTTATATTATAACATACCTTAGGTTGCCAAATTGCCAATATTTGACTAAATGAAAGGTCTGTTTCCGACCATAAGTTGGATAAAGGAGTTTTATATGTTCAGGCTTCTAAACTTTTAATTACGATCAGTGTTGCAGAAATCGGCCTCGGCGGCCGATTAATCACTTGGCGGCCTTGAACCGATTACGATTAAGGTGCTTGGCGGAAATTGGTCAAACTCGGGCTTGGCGGTCCTCGACGGTCATAGGCGGGAAATATTTTAAAAATTCAATTTTTTTAATTTTCAAATATGACACCAAAATTTTAAATTTACAAATTTTTAAGTTTTCAAATTTAAAAATATTATACAAAAATTTTCAAAATTTTAAAATTTTAAATTTTAAAAATTTTTAAATACTTATTTTTTTAGGATATATTAATTTTTTAAATAATTTTATTAATTTTTTAGGGTCCCCGATTAATCATCGCCTAATTCGATTAATCGCTTAACGCCAGTTGACCGCCGAGCTACCGCCGAGCGATTTTCACAACCTTGATTATGATATTAGGACTGACATATAACTTTTCGAAGTAATAAGGAAGATTATGCGTCTAAACATAAATATAATCTCCCCTAACATAATAAACTCACGTCTCGGTACACTAAACGCCTACGTTTGTGTACAAATTGTAATGGTGAGAGCACGTAGTGAATTAAGAACAATAACGAAAAATCAGCAGCTGAATCGCGAAGGGTGAAGAGGAACAACACCAAAGAGGAGACGAGGAAAATTCATACATACGTGGTAAACGGCATAATCATTATTAGAGTGCCTAGTAGAGTCTGTTAGGACATGTGCTTATTTTGACACATTCATATGTGTTAAATTGTTTTATGATTTTAGGAATAGGAACTTAGGGACTACGAGGTGATTTTTAGGATGAGTATGAGTAGGTGTGAAAGGTAGTAGAGGCCTATACTACCGGAAGCACAAGACTCGCACTTGGATCAGGGAAAGTCACGTTACTAAGACATTAGTAGTTGAGTTCGTTTTGTTCATGTCCATCGCTACCATCGTTTCGGTAATGACTAGGAAGATGATTGTTCGTTCGGACCTTAGTAGTCATCGGGTCCGATTAATGTCTACAAAGTAAGTTACTTGTTTCAAAGAACCATGTTCGATGTAATATCCCACTTTAGTCAAGGGATTTAAGGAAAATATAATTAAAGCGATCAACAAAAGTATCGCGACCGTCGTTAAGACTAAACAGCCAGTAGCTAGAAATGCTACATATATAAATGTGGTTGTACCACATTAAAACACGAAGGAAGGTATCTTCCGTGCTAGAGTCTGACTCATATAGACCTGAGTCTATCCATTACATCATGCGATAGAAGGTCATTAGAATATGACCATTCGTTCTGCTACGATTGTTGGAGTAAAGACCTTATCATATATTGAGTACGTCAAAAAAGGAACAGGATTTTCCAATAAAGTTCAAATTTGTAACTTGAAGGATAGGACTAAAGGTCCAACAAAAAATGAAGAGCATGTGGAAGTTTGAGCACCACCGGCAGTCAAGAAGTCCAAGAGTTAGACACTCATTTGAAAAGACATAGGAGTTATGGTTATCTAGGATGGAAAGGTAACATGCGGAATCATTATACATGCCTTGTTTTGCTGATGATTTCGGGACGTAATCATCCTAAGGGAGAGATAATTGTAACGCCCTCAATTTCGGGCTAGACAATTAGAATATAATAAGTGATAAAAACGACATTTAGATAGAAAGTTACTTAGGATAAATAAACTTAACTAAAGTTATAATATATATGACAAGGATACCATACATATAAAGAAATCTGAAATATGACTTCGTATGAAGAAGTTATGCTTCTTCGAAATTCCACGATTAACCACCATGGCTACGTGCGTCGTAAAAAGTGAGTTTTAGATAGGTTACTTATTAGCCTAAGCAATCCAAACGAAAGTCATAGTAATTGTAAAACCGAGAGCGTGCATATAGAAAACGTCCAAATCTGACTTCGTATGAGAAAGTTATGCTTTTTCGAAGTTTCAACGCAGCAGTGTGGGCACAGAAATTAAAATTCAAATCGATTCATTGTTAGGCAAAACAATCTAAACAATAGTTGAAGATCTCATGATTAGGAGTACGTCGATATAAGGACAGTAAAGAATGGAGTTCGTATGAAGAAGTTATGAATTTCACATGGACTTTAACAGTATAAACCGGTCTAAATATGAATTTTAGTTAGAGTGAGAATGAGCAGTTGAGACCTCAATGACAGTTGGTGGGGAGCTTTTATTAAAAAATATTTTGGGTTACAACAAATTATTTTTTTGCTTTTGTTTAAAAATTTCGGGTTCCAGTTCCATTTATGGGTTTCCAGTTATTTCCGGGTCTAATACACGAATCAGGTTCCAATTATCAATTTCCAATTCCATACCCACTATACCCGTGTAACACCCGGAATCCAAAAGGCCAGTTAAGGAAAGAAAAATCCCAAATCAAAAGGCAACTCGTCGAGTCCAAGGAGGAGAACTCGACGAGTAGGAACAGATTTGGGACGCGGGTTGGGAAACCTACTCGACGAGTTGGAGGGACCAACTCGACGAGTTGGTCTGGGTTTAGGAAACCCTAAATCTGGGTTTTTGTACCCTATTTAAGCATCCTATTCCCCACCTTTCAGCCTCATTTCCAGCCTCCATTGTCCAAACCCTAGATCTCGAACCCTAATGCTATAGTGAGCCATTTTTTAGTGTTCTTATGAGTATTGAAGCTTGGGAAGGAAAGAGAAGCTTGGGGGAATCAAGAAGAAACTAGTAGATCCAGAAACACCTTGCTTTTCTCATCATTTTTGGGTAAGAAAGTCTTCACCTTGCTCAATGAATACTTAGATCTTCTTAGCACCTTTTCTAGTGGGTTTTAGTCCAAGAAGCTTGACTCTTGGGTTTTGGACATCCCAAGTGAGGAACACTTCAGATCTAGTGTCTAGAGGGACTCTCATGGCATAAAGGTGCCAACTTTATGGCCATGGAAGTCCCATGCAACCTCTAAGCCTCTATTTTGGCCTTTTTAGCTCCAAAAGGCCATGCATGTAGATAAAGCTTGAAGCTTTACGTGTTTTGTAGTATCTAGAGTCCAGATCTCAGTTTATATGCCTTGGTTTAGAGCGTTGATGATGTTTGGATCAAGATCTAAGTCTTAAAGGACTAGGGTTTGAGCTATAGCCATTAATTGAGAGTATTAACGGGTAAAGCTGGAAACTTTACCCTTAAAGGGACATTTCCAGTGTATATGAGAAGTATGATGCTTAGATCTGAAGAGTAGGGGATTAACCCATTAAGAAGGCCCAAACAGACTGAGGAACTCGGCAAGTCCAGAGAGGGACTCGACGAGTTGAGTCGAGTTGTCCCGATTATGTACAAGATAGAATTTGACGAGTCTATGAAGGGACTCGACGAGTTGGTTCGTGTTTTCACGGCTATGAGTAGCAAGGGAACTCGGCGAGTCATGGTGATGACTCGACGAGTTGAGTCAACTCAGATTGTTAACTTTGACTTTGACTGGGCGTTGACTTTGACTGTTGACTTTGACTTTAACCAAGGTTGACCTAGTTTGATTTTTGAAGGCATTTGGACAAGAGTATGTGAGGGGTGGAATGGTCTTCTACCCCAGTGAGGACTTATGGTTAAGTTATAAGAATCTCAGACTTATCCATTTTGTATGATGATCAGTAGCTCGGGGATTCGAGAGATCAGCAGTTCAGGGATCTTCCAGCTAGCAGCGAGAGGTTTATTCGCGGGATTCTGCAGTCAGCTTGTGAGGTGAGTCTCCTCGCTGTTTGCATGGATCTACGGCCACAATGCCGACCCATTTAGTTTATGTACGGTAAGAAGACACGGGGGTTAGCCCTAGGCATTGTATGATAGTATGTTATTCCGGACCAAGGTCTGATGTCGGGCGGTGTCCGAGGAATGTTTGCATATTAGATTATACTTGTTGTTTGTGTGATACTTGTATGTGCCTGATAGGAGAGAGGTGAGTGTGGACGAGGTCCCGTATCTCATCACTAGCTGAGTATGGACGGGGTTCCACATCTCATCATTAGCATAACAGGGGTGGGGCCCGTGATAGGAGAGAAGTGAGTGTGGGCAGGGGCCCGTATCTCACTATCAGTAGGAGTGTGGACGGGGTTCCATGGCTCATCAGTAACAGGACAGGGGTGGGGCCCATGATAGGCGAGGCTTTAGGACAGGAATACATCTAGAGTATGTTTCATTATGTGCTAGTATAATTATGTGATATGTTGTATGCGTATAGCGGACGGGGCCCAGAGACTGGCGAGGCCTAAGAGAAACAGATATGTATACCGAGCGGGGCTTGATGGCCAGGCGAGGCCTGATGCCGGGCGGGGCCCGATGCCTGGATAGAGTCTGATGTCGTGCGGGTGCCCAGTATATGTGGTTATGTGTATGGTATGTGGTAGTATGGGGAACTCACTAAGCTTCGTGCTTACGGTTTACAATTTTGTTTTCAGGTACTTCCACTTGCAGAGAGAAGAGCTCGGGATAACTGCATTGCACACACCAAGATGTTTTAGCCTGGGATGTTTACTCTGATGTTTTGATACTCTGATAATAATGTTTTAAGATATTTGACTATGCTTTGATGAAGTGATATGATAACTATGGTTTTATTTAATGATTTAAAAATGAAAATTTTGGACCGTATTTTTGGGATGTTTCAACCCGGTTTGATACCCGGAACCGAACCGAACCGGTTACCGTATACCGGTCCAATTCTCAGTTCTTATAATTCTTCAATTCCGGGTTCCGGGTTTTCCAGGTTCAGGCAAGTCGGTCCGATTTTGGACACACTTTCATCCCTAGTTTAGAGTTTGTATTTGTGTTTAAGTTGTAATGTCATCACTTTTTGTTCCATCATCTTTAATAAATGAAGGTTTTTTTTTACACTTGTCATATTCTCATTCAATTTGTTAAATGTCATTTTGTGAGTATTTTTGAATTAATTTTTTTTTTCCACGTGTCATTTTATGAGTTTTTCTATTTTATTAAATTTCACATAATATTTTAATATCATATTAATTGCAATAAATGTAGTAATAAATGGATATCAATTTCATTAATGAACTTACCTTTTAATTTCAAAATTCTCAAAATTAAAGTTTATTACTTTCTTTTATTTATTTAAATTTAAAAGATAAAAAACATTTCTATTATAATAATTCATTATTTTTCTTATTTTCTTATAAATTCAAAGTTCTCAAATATTTTGACATTTATATTTAAATTTTTTTTTAAATTAACTCATGTAGTACATAGGTCTCACAACTAGTGTTCAATAAAATTACGGTTCCCCGAAGTATAACAAAAATGAAAGATTTTAGCTTTTCAACTACTACTTCAACGACTTGTACCATACGCAATTAATGTTGTATTAGCAAGTCCGGTTCACAGTCCATACTTTTTTCTCAAATCAGTCAAGTCCAAAAACCGGTTCCGGTCAAATTGTCCACCCCTCTTTTATGGTCATATTAGTGAATAACTCATGAAAAAAAACAGCTAATTACAATAATAAAAAGTAATAGAAGGTTAAATCACAAAAGAAACCTCTTTTAAATATTTACTACAAAAATCTTACATTTTATATTTTCTCGGAAAGATGATGTAAATATGCAAACAAAAAAATGTGCTTATTAAAAGATTTTTCTAACTAGACCATTGACATGAAAAATAAATGTTCACGAAATAGACGGTGACAGTAAACGAAATGATTTTTAAATCTAATTTTTATATATATATATATTTAGCATTAAAATAATCAAATTTTAAGATGTGGGTGGAAAGTTGCTATAAGAAAACCGATTATCAATATAAATATAGATGTAAAACTACTTGCGTATATTTGAGGCTGCTCTACTGAATATCAAAACACAAAGTCCAAAATACCCATTTTCAAATCAGGTTTGCAACATCATGTTAGGAAACCATATACTACCTCTTGAATCTTGATATTAATTTTACACTCTCACTAATTCATAAAATAAACATATCTAAAGAGTTCAAAACTGCATCCACAAAGGATTGAAGGTTTAATCAATCTTTAACCCACAAAGTTTACCACTTTTGTTCCTTGTTTCTTCTTTGGTTTGGATTCGTTAGAAACAATATCAGCTTTGGGCTCAAAAGTCTTCTTCTCTTTATCATCTTCAATCATGCTGAAATCATCCTCAAGATCATCACCACTTGCAAATTTGGTCACCTGCCCTCTTGCAACTGCTCCTATCCCAGTTGCTAAGATCCACAAAAACAAATACTCAAAATTGTAAATATGAACTAAATGCAAAAAAAAATAGCAACATACTTTCATTTGTTTGTTTATTATAGCATCCTACTTTCATTTCTTTCTAGTGCATCAATGCACAAATATAAATTTATAATAAAAGTTGTCAATTAAACAGTCAGTCAGTGAAGAATTCTTACATCTTTTGGCAGAATCACTTCTATTGCTTTTGTTTGGACAATCTTTAGCCAAATGTGTCACACCCCCACATACTTTGCAACAACCTCCCTACAACAACAGCAACAATGTTTCATATAAATAAAAAAATAAAATGTCAAGAACATAACTTATTGATAACATAAAAATGCACCTTCGGATATATTCCATGAGCGTTTTTAGGACAATCCTTACTCAAATGTCCTCGTTCTTTACATATAAAGCATGATGCATATTTTGTTCCCCCTGCATCACAAAGCTAGGGATAGTTAGGTAATTTCACATTGATCTCAAAAAAAAAACCCTCAGAATTGACGTTACAATAATCAATCCAAAAGCACATTCAAACACCCCCTCAATAATCATAAATTCAAATTAATATAACATCAATCAAAGAGGAAAATATGCTTAGATTACCATCTTGAAGTGGTTGAGGACATAGAGCCAAAGAATGTCCAAAGTCTCCACAATTATAACATAACTTGTCATCAACATCCTCTCCACTTTTCTTGGGGCAGTTCTTGAGACTGTGGCCACGTTGCCGACATAACAAACATATCTGCAAACACATTATATGTAATTATGATTAGGACTTAAAATTATAATTATAATCTAGCTGTAAACGTAAAGTTATCTAAGTTATAGTAATCAGCTTCTGAGTGTTTGAGTATAAGTAATTATGATTAGGGTTGAAATAATCAAATTTGGAGAATCGGGTAATAACTATTATAGGTTCCAAGTAGAACTGTCATTCCGATCGATATAAACCCTAACTTTAACTTATCATATTTTAGGCAATCATTTGATAACAAAAAGCTACGAAATGCAAATTAACATTAACTTGAAAAGGAAATAGACAAAACCTACCTTGTGTTTTTCCCATTGATCTTTCTCCGGGCAATTTTTGGCAATATGATTATCAGCTTTACAGATGAAACAGCTATCACCGGGTCTCATTCCGGGCACTCTGAGAGGGTGTTTTTTGTATGCAGGTCTCCTGGATTTGCTCGGGTCAGTGGAATCTGATTTCTTGAGCTTGAAATTACTCTTCTTCTTTTTCTTCTTCTTATTCGGATCCTGTGGCTGTGTGGGCTGGGGTTTAGGAAACAGTTCCGGGTGCTCTTCCTTGAATCGTTTGCGAGCTAATATCTGCCTTTTGCACACCATTTTTGTAGGGAAAACCAACAAGAAAGCGAGAAGGTGCCGTTGTTAGATAGGGAGGTAAAAGATTGAGGACAGAAACCCTGCAGAGAAAGAGGGTTGAAGCCAGGAGTTGGAAAAAGAGTCCCGGGTTTTCTACAAAGCCCATAACTAAATGAAGCCCTACATGGCTACATGGCTACATGCTGCTACTGATGCATGTGTCACATTTAAGTATAAATTTAATAAAATTAATAATCATTTAATCCATTTGTCATTCCATATTGCATTTGATATTTAATTTCTCTTCTATAATATATCATATATATATATATAAGAAAGTATGTCCGGCTTCCATCCTTACTAGCTATAGGGCTTACTAAAAAAGCTAATTTCCCTCCCGCATCCTCTAAAAAGATAGACATGATGACTGGCGTCTTTACTAATATTATCCATTGTATTATCATATTGTTGTTGTTGGAGGAAGATCATTCTATTATAACACTCATTAATTTTTTTTGTCATATTTTTTTAGGATTTTTATTTTTTTACAATTATAAAAACAAATATATTTTTATAAAACATAATCTCTCTCTTCTAATAAAAGAGTGTTTTTATATCATGTGTCACCACTATAAGCCTGTTAGCCACGTGTCATTTTCTCATACATCATAATATATTTTCTCTTTCAAATCCTAATTTTTGGTATACAAAATATCTAATCGTCCCTGCAAACCAGGAGGTATAATTTCAAAACAATTTATCTTATAGTAAATTCAATAACAATAAATAACGAATTTGTTATACCCTTCAAATTACTTCACAAAGATTGCATTCATCTTTAACAGCCCGTTAAATCAGCTATAGGTCTCCCAAATTTGAATTTTTGTTTAAGTAAATTGATACTTATAGTATTAGTTTCCATCTTAAGGCGCTATATCATTAATTAGGTCGTTGATTATCTTTCGATTGATAAGTAAAATCCCAATATTCATGGAAGAAATTGGATTCCATATTCAAATTCATTTCTATGTATTAGAGTTAATCAGTTATTTTGCCTTTAAAATAGGATTGTTATTTTGCCTCAAATTGTCACGATTTTGGTGTTTCTATCGGTCTACCATTGCTTTTCATCTTCAATTTGTTGTTCATCAAGGTTCCTTCTTTAAGCTGTCATTCTCATATTATATTTTCTGTTTTTGATTTTTTGATAATCATTCATTACTACGTGGATGTGTATGGTATTTGATTTTCATGATTTAATGATATTCAGAAACCATTTGTACATGATTTTGGTGATGGTAAATTTAATTTGATGTTGCACTCTATGTGTTTGATAAAATGCACATGAGAAGTTCTTTTTCCTATCAAGCACTGTTACACGGTACAATGTGTGTGTTTGTGTTCAATTTCTTTATATTATTCTTAGCATGTTATCTGTTGACGTAGATACACACCATGATTTCAATTTTTGTGGGTTTTTGTTGGTTAAACTTTGAGAGGGTATGCACATCACCATGATCTTCTTCGTTTTCTCACTCAGGTACCTCTGTTTTATTCTTTTTTGCAAAAGTTAACCCTTGTAGATCAAGGGCGTAGCCACTTAGGTGGGTCCTAGGACCCACCTAATTTATTAATTTTATATTGTATTTGTATAGAAAAAAAATAGGAACTATCTTCAAAAAAAATTAGGACCTATCTAAAACTATTTGACAAAATAAGAAAACAAAAAAATAAAAAAATAATGGAGGACTTATACTTAAATTTCACAGCAAATGGTTAATACTATCAAAACCTATCATACATCGGAGATAATGAAAGAGTTGAAGTTGTTTGATGTTATAAAAATAAATTATGAATGGTTATTAGGAAATTTAAAAAACAACATACCTTCTCTCATATTGTTGGTCGTACAAAGTGGTTGTTGCAAATGAACTTTAAAAAAAAAAAGAGAGAGACTCGATAGTGCAAAGTAGTTGTTTTTTTTTATTACAAAAATCAAGTTTTAGGGTTAAGTAGACTGATTTTACCAGTTTTTAACAATTCTATCGGTCCGGTTGAACTCAAGTTTTTACAAACCGATCGCTTTTTATTGGTTCGACCCGACCCGATCTGTCATATATAATGTTGAAGTTCATTTGCAACAACCACTTTGTACGACCAACAATATGAGAGAAGGTATGTTGTTTTTTAAATTTCCTAATAACCATTCATAATTTATTTTTATAACATCAAACAATTTCAACTCTTTCATTATCTCCGATGTATGATAGGTTTTGAAAGTATTATCCATTTGCTGTGAAATTTAAGTATAAGTCCTCCATTATTTTTTTTATTTTTTTGTTTTCTTATTTTGTCAAATAATTTTAGATAGGTCCTAATTTTTTTTGAAGATAGTTCCTATTTTTTTTCTATACAAATACAATATAAAATTAATAAATTAGGTGGGTCCTAGGACCCACCTTACTTGTAAGTGGCTACGTCTTAATATCTTTATAGATGACAGTGGAATCATTGTACATTTTGAAGAAAAAAATAAGTTCGTTCTTTAAATAAATCATTTTGATTATTGTTTTTTGTTTGTTTTTAGCTATTAGTATTAATTGACGATTATAAAATATTTTCAAGATGATTCAATTATGATTTCTTACTTATTCCTTTACCTTTTCTTTCTTGGTGCAGTTGTGCTTATATGTATTCCAATTGTTTCAGGGGGAGTTGTTAATGTGATAGAGATGATGGTTTAGTTTGCCGAATCTTATGGAAGCAAGAAAGTCTTAAATATTTAACGGCTCTTTGGTATTAGTGATGATTACCAACAAAAGATCAGTTTATCTTTCTTGCTTGTGGGCTTGTACTCTTTGGTTACTTCGTTTTTTTAATTGAACTTTCATTATTCAAAAGGGCTTGATTGTGCAACAAATGATATTCTTCGTTGTTTATACGAAGATTACATCAACAAGTCACTAAGAGTCTACAAATGCATTTAAGTTTCTCTCCCGTGGGCTCAAATTCTCTCCACACCATTTGTGTCTGTGAAGAATATTAATCTCCCCATGTGAAGTATACCTTTTGTTTTGTTTTTGGTTCTAGATTTTTTAGTTCCGTATTTATGATATTTATGTTTTTATGTACGAAAAACAGAGTGATTACACCCAAAGATTTCATAAAGGATTTTATTTTTGAATTCATTTAGGATTTTTATTTTTCTAGATCCCATTTTAAGGTATGGGTTTTTATGTATGATGTCTGATAACAATATTTTGATGACATTAGTTTTTACATGAGTTCTTCCTCAAGGTTTAAATTGCTTTGTTGTTTTCAAATATTGCTATAAAGAACAAACATTCAAGTAATCCCATGGATTAGGAATTTTAGCCATGCTAAGAGTTAGCATTCTAAAGCGATGGGAACATGCCAAATTCGTGGAAGTAAAGGTATGGAGTTTCTATGGTTGTAAAGTTGAGTTTGGCAAAGAAATTTCTTTACTGTACTTAAACATTCTGTATGTGTCATCTTTAGGCCCAAAACATTGCAATTTTTTTATTACAACTTGTAAATGTTGTAAATTTTTTGTATTTTTTTTAAAGACTTTTGTACTTATTTATCAACAATGATGTCCAACTAAAACAAATTATTATCACAAAAATACTTTAACAAAATTAATGTTATTTTCGAAGGGTCAAATGCAAAAATATGAGATCTAATAATGTCGTAAGAAACATTCCAAATATTTTTTGCATAGTTGATAATTGCATACCAGATTAAGTTGGTCCATTTTGATATATAATCAGAGAAATGTCAAGGCATTTTTTTATTAAATAATAGCTACATTTTCTATGTCATTATATTGCTCTTAGCATGATATCCATTGGTACTAAGATTAAACCAACTAATATTTTGTTTATGAAATAAATAAAAATTTGAGTTTTTAGGCATGTATCTTTTGTGGAGTAGTAGACAGATGCATGTTGCTAACTTGCTATTGAAGAAACATTTCCAAAATGTGAAAAATTGAGTTTAAGTTTAGTAGCGAGCTATTTTTTGTCATTTATTTTAGGGCAAATTCCATGAATGCACTGTATTTTTTTTTCTTTCAATTTACTTAATTAATCAATTTTCTTCCGGTTTAACCACTTAGAGTTTGTTTTTATCTTTCATGAAAACCACTACATAAAAATTTGGATTTCATAAAAACACTATAGCTTGGAATTTGTTCGGTTAATTACTTAATTTTTTTTATTTTTATGATTTAACCATTGAAACTTTCAATTTTTTTCTGAAAAATAAAATTCAACAAAAATTGTTTCAATTGGTGTTTGGTACTATTTATTGGAAAAAGAACTTACGGTAGTTTTTTTCGATCTATGTTATTTTAATTTATCAACCGTGGTTTCCACGGGTTATAACCTAGTAGTTAAATAAAACATAACAGTTACAAACTAAAAAACATAACATTAAAAAACTAAAAAAAATTACAAAAAATACGATAATTTTTAAATTAAACAAAACATAATCATAGTCCTAATTGCCCAAAAAAGGCCATAATCTTCTCCTTCATCGCTCGTAGAACTTTCAAATGTCGGGGCACAAACCTTCCTTGTTATCCTGAAGAATTTGTCAACTGGTTCGTCATGTCTGTTGGATTAGGTGTCTAAGCTCATAACTATTTTGGTATGTACTTGACCCGATTATGAGCATGGTCCTTTTGGGTTGCCTTCACCATAGCAACTGATAGTATGCATTATGGAGAAAGAGAATTAATTATGATTTATTAATATATTGTATGAATAATATTAAAAGAGAAATCATATTGTTTAATTAATATTAGTCAAGAATTAATTAAGAATTAATTTTGTGGCTAAAAGAGATTAATTAAACTTAGGGGACTGGAACTGTAATTATAAGATAATTGCATTTGGGCTGATGGATCACCTTGGAATATAGGTTGGACGAATTCTATGGGAAGCCCATAAGGAAATCGTCCAAGGGCTTTCTAGAGGGACTCCATGGGTTGCTTAAGGCCTAAGCAGAGAATTAGGGTTTCACCTAAAACCCTAGCAGCCCACAAAAGTATATAAAGACCCCTAGGGCTCCCAAATATGTGGCTAAGCTTTCCCTAGAAGATCTTGAACGATTTTTGGTGCT